TATACGCCGTGGTGTATGGACTAGAAATTGCCTTCATAAGTCAAGAAATTTTATAAATTTTAGAGAGGTAAATTTTGGAAACACACGAAAGAAGGAGAGGACAAGGGGAAGCTATTTTAGGCCATTGAAAGGTGCTTTTGATAGACAATTTATCAGATAAGCTACATATAACTCTTACCTTCCATTCTACACAAATTTCTCTAAAAATGAGTTAAGAAAAATTGAATTGGTGAAATTTAAGGGGTTTGATTCTTGGCCAATAGTAATAAAATTTTTTTCAAAAGTTAAATTAGAGCTTTGCGACTAGTTTAGAATTGAACAGTAGAGCTTTAAACCCGTAAGCTCAATTTAGCCCTTAAAGAGAGAAAGTTTAGGGCAAAAATTGTGTTTTAGTAAAATAAGACCGGTTGAGACAATGTAAAGTAGTTATCAGGTAGTAATAGACCTAGAATGGATAAATGGAAAAGAATTTATGGATGAATATACCCCTAAGTAGTAAATATGAATTTTTGATCAAAATAGACCAAATGACTAAAATGTGTTTAGATTGGCATATTGGACATGTGAAGTGAGAAAGGAAGCTTGAGATAAGCTATTATGGTAGTTGAAATCCACAGGTAACCTTTCTATTGATAAAAAGATTGAGATAACTGAATAACTTCCTGTAACACTTGCCCCGAGTATTATTCAAAAATCACACAATTCAAGTAAACTAAGTGTGGTTAAGGAGTTGTTCCAAAAACCAACTTGGGAAATAAATCATTTAAATTAATAAATATAAGCAAAATAATCATTTAAAGCCTTAAAAAAAATTTATAGGTTCTACCTATAGCGCATGGAAGCAAGCTAGGCGAAAGCGGGGTAAAAAGATGCTGTCATGATAGCATTAAATTGCTATCATGATAGCCTCCCAAGCCAATTTCGGGGAGGCGCCGTTCCGCCATTCAACTTTCGATCAAAGTGATTTTAAAGTTCACATGTTATTTTTAATGATTACTAGTAGTACACCAAATTTCAAAAATATCTAACGGTCGGATTAAAAATTGAATATGTTACAAGTTTGGTCATTTTTGCTGTCATGACAGCTAAAAAGCTGTCATGACAGCACCTCTGGACTAATTTCCGGAGTGCACCATTTCATTATCCGACCTTCGATCGGAGTGATTCCAAAGCCCACATGTCACTTTTAAAGATTACTATTAGCATACCAAATTTTGAAAAGATCCAACGGACAGATTGAATTTCGTGCATGTTGCAACATCATCACTGAAGTGCTGTCATGACAGCTCCTCCGGACCAAATTCTAGAGTGCGCCGTTTCTTTGTCCGGTGTCCGATCGATGTGATTCTATAGCCCACACGAAGCTTATAAAAGGTTTTACTTGTAACCCAAATTTTAGAGAAATCCAACGGTCGGATTAAGATTTGGACACCTGGATGCAAAAGTATAGTTTTTTAGTAAAAATCATTTTCAAAATTGTCCAAATCTCATCCTAATGGTCACAAACCTGTGAGAATGCTTTGAACATGTCAAATAGGACTAAAAACACCTGATAGAATATTTAAATGATAGAAAAACTTTTTATACCAAAATTTGACCACCCGAGTGCCATTTCTCAAAATGGACCCTAAACCTTCAAAATGTACAAATCACACAAGAGTGGCCAAAAACTATTCCAAAGATCATGTATTTATATAAATGCACACGCTAAATATTTTCACTTGACTCAGAGATCTCCGTGGGGCCCACGCACCCACTCTCTCTATCCAAGGTGTATTTTTGCCCATAGCACACCATTTGCAATGCAACCACTTTGTATTTGGTTGTAGAATCACACACACACACACATACACACACACACACACACACACATATCAAAATAAATATCTTCTTGTAGTGAAAACTTGGTCTACTAAATAAATCCATCAAAACCACACACCATAACCAAGTTTCCTAGCCATGAGTCTACAAGCAAACAAAAATTTATACACAAGCCATACAATCCACACATATTCACACGTATATATATAATCACATCCTACTGACACCCTAATCCTAAATACATTACAATGTACTTGCTCAAAAGAAAGGGGTTGCAATTCTTTACAAATCACAAGCAAACCCCTAGCTTAGCTCTTTTCCCCGTCCACTAATTGATCCTTCGCTTGGACCTATAAAAATTGTAAAGAAAGGGGTGAGACAAGCACAGTCTCAGTAATAGAGAAATCGATATTCCTTATTACAAGAAAAGACATAGTCAAGTAAATAAATAATAGATTCAAAATAACATATAATTAACCAATTAAAATGCTTGAATGCATGAGATAGGCCGATATAGCCTTTCTTGACCAACAGAATACTCCCTGGCACTCTTTCTCTTGTAGGTAAACCTTGTACCCTCTGTACCTCTACAGGCACAATATATAAACCAAGGCATGATTTGATCCACCGAACCGCCTGAGCAATTAAAGCTAACTCCCTCCCAGAGCCAGCCCGACTTACTCTCCATGTGAGGGCTACCTTGGCCTAGGCACTCAACCTCACACTTCATATGCTAGATTCCCTCTCCTACTGAGAGGTGTCGAACACTCAATCCACTAACCACTTTAGTGTACTGAACCCACAATATGAAAGGAAACACTGAATACTGACAGTGAGCCATAGAATATCACAAGACCACATCCTCCCATTGGTGAACTCCCATCGAGATCATGCCTCCTACCCTTTTTCAACCTTTCTTGAGCATTGACCACTTCAATAGTCAAGGTAGTATAACACTCATAATTCATCCCTTAAGTGGTTCCTTAGCCTATCTAAGGTACCAAACCTAGTTGCACTTCCTTAAGTGCAACTCCTCGTTTTTTTATGATCATAATGCATGCTAATAATCTTATTTCCATAAGTAACATCATTATTAAATAAATAGTAAACATGGATGCATTATTATTAAAGCAATACCCCATAAACCCTTCTAAAACATATTTTATTTGCATTCAATTATTTAAAACATATAATGCATGCTAGATAATATTATCTACTCACAAATAGCTAAACAAAGCAATAAGAAATATAAATTCCCCTGTTACCTCAACCCTTTGGCACCAAAAGGGTTCCTCTTGTACAAAATAGGACTTGGCTTGTTCCTTAACTTTTCAATAAGTTCCACCAACAATTTCCTATAACATATAAGTGATCCACATCACTTATCATGATAAATAGCATTAATGAAGACTATAGCTCATATCACACAACTTGGGTTAATGAGCCATAATCTATCCCAATGGTCCATATATTAAACCAACAATTCACATAATACCACTTAACCACCAAAACCATTTATTAGCCATCACTAGGCTAATTTTCAATTCATATAATTTTTAATCAATTAAAAACCTTCACTTAGTATCACCAACTTTTACCATTAGCCCTTATAATGAAAACCAAACCTTAATTTAAATCTTATTGGGGTCGAATAGAAAAATTATAACTAAATCAATAGACTTAAACCATTGAGGAGCAAAACCCAACCTCTTGGGGTTTAACTTTTTCCCTAAAACTCCATTTTTAATCCAATTACCCACTCAAAACATTAGGGCATCATGTAGAAACTTAAAACAACCTCCCAAGGACCCAAGGAAACTAACGCTTACAAGAATAAGGCCTTTTGAATCAAACTTTAGAAATTTCCTCTTCCAAAATTGAAGAAAATCAAGAGGGAAGGAAGAAGATTGAAGTAAGGAGTTTACCTATTGTGTAGCTAAGCTCGCAACGGTCGCAAAGCCTCCTAGATCCAAGCCTAACTCCCTCTCTTTCTCCTCTCTTCTTCCTCTCTCTCTCTCTCTCTCGTGCGTTTGTTTCTTTCCTTTTCATTTCTATTTCTGCATCCAGTTTGTCTTTAAAATACTGATCTAATACTTTAGAAAAAATTACAAGAAAGGGCCCAATATTTTTTATTATAGCACAAAAGCCCGGGTCAACTTTGGTCATTTTTTCATAGTTAAAAATCAAATAAAACCAAACTCTTGCTGAGAAAAATTCAAACTCTGGACCTCTATCAAATTATTCTAAATTTTAATTTGATTATAAATATTTTTTTTATTTTTAAAATAAATCTAAGTCTTAAAATTTTTGGGATGTTACACTTCCTTTATTTGATTGTTTATTGTAATTGTGTGTTAGTATGCTATACAGTGTATGAAATGATTTTGAACTAAGCATGGTTTATAGCATTGTGTGATTGTTGTATGAAATGGCTTTTGATTGAAATAAAGCATTGAAATGTGTGATTTCAAATGGCATGTATTATATATGCAAGTTATGTTTGAGAAAATGAGTAAAATGGTAAATGGGAACCTTAAATCATTTGGAAAACATGATCATAGGGGTGGGAGTTTACCTAAGTGGAGGAAATGATAAAGATGATATGGCAAGGTTTCCTTAGTACCTGACAGGGTATGGTGTTAGAAACAATTCTCCTTAGTGCCTTATAAGGTATAGTGTTGGAGAATATCTTCTCAATGCCTATTGAGATGTGGTGTTGGAGATGTGAGACTCCTTAGTGTCTTTGTGATATGGTGTTGGAGACAACGACACCCCATTATATGTATTGGGGGGAAACTATAGTCTGTATGTGCGTTAGAACATCTTTGGCTGAGTGATTCTACCACTGCAGGTGAGCTCAAGGCCAATGAGATTGTACATTAGTCTAAGGTGAGCCTATGATTTCTTGTCGGGTTGACTTAGAGGTTCGGTCGGTAGTGATCATGCTATATGATGCTATGAGATGTTATGGAATGTTATGAAAGTGGTGAAAAGTGGGAAAATGAATATGTGTTACATGAATATGAATGGAAAAGAGATATGTGATATAAATGCTATTTTAATGAGATTTAAATGGTATACTATGCTTTACTTCTATATTATTGCATGTGATAGTCAATAAGAGTGAGTTATTCTGTTACTGAGATTTTTATCTCACCCCCATAGTTGCATGTTTACAGGACCAAGCAGTGATCAGGGCAAGGGAAGAGAGTCTGGACCGGCTTGAGTTATTAAAATCGTGTAAACTCTGAGTTAGTGTAATAAACTGGAAAACTTGTGTATATGAGTTGCCATAGGGTTGTATGCATGAATTAAGTAGTTATTTTATGGAATCTTAGCCCAATTATATGTGTTTGTGATGAAACGAATTAGGAGCTATGATTTGAATATGTTTATGTTGAATTTGTTGTTGACATTGGTGAATCTTAAGCCTAAGCGAGAAATTACGATGAAATAAGTAATTTGGGGCTAAGATTGTAATATACATGTGTTATGAATGTGAATGTATATGTTTATGTTGGGAAAAAGGCCAATTGGGCTAAATTATGCCAAGTGATGGCAAGTTGTGTAAAGTTTGTGAAAATGTAGAAATTGGTCATAGAAGGATCAAGTTTCAATATATGAGTATGATTATGATATATTGTGATTTGAATGGTTTTGTAAAATGAGTCTTGGGCCCAAGCTTTTTAAATAAATCTTTTGATTTGTGAATTGTGTGTTTAAAGGGTAACTTTATTAATCTTCTTCTGTATTTGGAGGACATAGGAGGAGGTTACACATAATCTTTTAAGCATAAGTCAATTATGTGACAAGGTTTATGAGGTTATTTTTAATGCTGTGCGTTGCATTGTGAAAGATGAACAAATAGGAAAAACCATCCTAGAAGGGAAGAGAGTTTAGAATGTATATTCAATAAATCTTTGTGAGGATGATTCACTGAACACAAATGTCTCATCTTTATGAATGATGAGAGTTGGCTATGGCACAAAAGATTAGCCCATGTCAACATGAAGCAATTGGACAAGCTCATAAAGAAGGAACTTGTCATTGGACTACCAAAGATAAAATTCAAAGCTGACAAGCTATGTGATGCTTGTATGGAAGGAAAACAAACCAAGACTATATTTTAAAGCAAAAATGTAGTATTCACATCAAGGCCTCTTGAATTATTTCATATGGATCTAATCAGTCCTTCGAGGGTAAAAAGTTTAGGGGGTAATCTCTACAATTTTGTTATAGTTGATGATTATTTTAGGTTCACATGGACTATCTTTATGTCTCACAAGGATTAAACCTTTGAATATTTTGTGGCATTTATAGCTAAAGTATAAAATGGAAAAGGTTTGAAAATTATAAAGATAAGAAGTGACCATGGTGGAGAATTTGACAATTTCAACTTTATTGAGTTTTATGAAGAATAGGGAATTAGTCATGAATTCTTAGCTCATAAAACACCTCAACAAAATGGAGTTGTGGAGAGAAAGAACAGAACCCTAGAAGAAATGGCAAGAACCGTGCTTAATGAGAAGTTAACTTCCTAAATATTTCTAGGTGGATACCATGAATACAGCATGCTACATAACCAACAGAGCACATATTTGACCTATTCTGAACAAAGCTCCTCATAAGCTTTACAAGGGAAGAAAGTCTAACATCTCTCATCTGCAAGTATTTGGTTGTAAAATGTTTTGTACTTAATAATGGTAAGGATAATCTAGATAAGTTTGATTCTAAAAGTGATAAAGCTGTATTTCTCAATTATTCCAATAGAAGTAAAGCTTTTAGAGTCTTTAATAAAAGAACCTTATTTGTTGAAGAGTCAATTCATGTTAGATTTGATGAATCCTTATTAGATGAGAACAAAGAAGAAGAAACTATGAATCTTCCTCTTAATGATCTCTCATTGAAAGAAAAGGAGGAAAATCAAACCAACAATGATACCATGACAAATAATCAAAGTGGAGAGACAAATAATCTTCCAAAAGATTGGAGATATAGTAAGTCACATGCCATTGATAAAGTCATTGGAGAAGTTGGTGATAGAGTTAAAACAAGAGGTTCACTTAGAGAAGTATGTCATTTCAGTGCATTTCTTTCTAATTTTGAACTCTTTGATATTAAAGAAGTTTTAACTGATGAATATTGGCTCATAGCAATGCAAGAAGAGTTAAACCATTTTGAGAAAAGCCAAGTTTGGGACTTGGTACTAAGACCAAGTGATCATCCTGTTATTGGGACGAAATGGATCTTTAGAAATAAATTTGATGAAACTGGTATTGTGGTAAGAAATAAGGCTAGGCTAGTATTTAAAGGTTATAATCAAGAAAAAGTATTGATTATGATGAAAACCTTTGCTCTTGTTGCTAGACTTAAGGCTATTAAACTTTTACTTGCTTTTGCTTGCATTAGAGATTTTAAACTTTATCAAATGAATGTTAAAAGTTCATTTTTGAATGGATTAATTAATGAAGAAGTTTATGTAGAGCAACCTCCAAGATTTGAGGATCCATGAATACTAAATCATATCTACAAATTAAAAAAAACATTGTATGGACTAAAGCAAGCACCAAGAGCTTGCTATGAATTTAAAAGTTTAAAGTTTATTTTGCATATTTTAAGGGTTCAGGATCTAGGTGCTTTTCGAGCAAGAGTTCAAGATCTATTTTGCTCATTAACCCTATTTAATAAAACACACTTTGTAATATTTGTTTGAGTATGAGAGCTACCAAAGCAATTGGGTAGCGCTTTAACCTTGAATTGTTACCGCATCCCTGCCCAAAAGGTAGCGTTTTTAACCTGCACATTAAATAGCACTGGTCCTTGTAACACTTCAAAAATGCTATCAAATGAAGAAAAAAGTGCTACCGCATCGTATTTTTGTAATAGTGCATCCAAAGTTCAAAATAATCCACACAAGGCATAACAGTCAGTGTCTATTGTTAATTTTTAGTTTATATCTGATTTACAACTGATCTTTGATAATTTACACCTAATCTCTATGAGGTCGACAATTCTCGTATACAAAATTAGGTTAATATATTGTTAATCATAGTTTAACAATTAAATTGTGTTGATTGTGGGGTCCAATTAATTATAGTGAAATTAGGGAAGGGAGTAGGTGTGAAGATATTGCTTATCCGATACATTAGATTATCAAAATATGTTTAATAAATTAAATGATGACAAAAAATAAAGTGTTAAGGTTGGTAAGTGATAACTCGATTATTGCTATATCTTCATGCATGCATACATGTGGAAATAAAGAATTCTTTGCTTTTTCTTCAATGTTTTTTATAGCATATACTTTTTCATTGCTTATATTCTTTAATTTGCAAGACTTAATAATTGATGTATATTTTTATTAGAGATATATCAAGTTGTTATACATCTAAATTATTTTAGTGAAGAAATACATTTATTAATATTTATGCTAAATATCTCTTACACACACACACATACTATTGGTTAACGAATATAGACCATATATATTATTGTCACTTGCTGGTATTTATTAGGTAAAAATGACTGCATTAGGAAAAATTTAATTGTTAGATTACTTTTCCACCTTCTTGGTTGAATTATAGGTGTTTATTAGAATACATAAATGCAAGAGGCAGAAGTAGATTGCTAAAATGTTATTTTAAATATAATGTAATATTTGAAATAATATTTGTCCTTTCCTTCCGACATGCATATTCACATATTCCCTATTTGATTTTAACACATATATTAAGATGATGATTTCAACTTATTTGTCTGATCATTTTATTTTAAGTTAGTGGAAAATTATTTAATTATTGAAAGGACTCAGAGATGATTGCTTGAGTAATCAGACCCACTTTCAAATCATTCGCCTCCTAGATGTGAAAACGATCACTTATAATTTTCAAAAGAAATTGTTCCAGCTCGACAGAGATTCACACACACTATATTAGGGAAAACATTTTTATGGTTGGTGGATAAGGTATATCGTTTGACAAATTAACCCGTTGTTGACATTTTGACCATTGATAATTCCCAACAAGTTCAAGCTTCGCTATAGTAGAGATTAATTAAAAGAGTGTCGGTGTTTCACCACCAAAAAAAAAAAAGTGTCGGTGATTTTTCAAATAGTTTTCCGATTTGTTTTACTTTCTTTAATTTATTGAGCTCGAGTCATTTTCTCATTGTTAATTCATTGGCTTCTGTGAAGAGTCTATTTTTATACTCTATTAATACCAATTTGGATTGTTGGGATTAAATAATCACCAATTTTATTACATATATATCCTACTACCAAGAATATAAGTTTTATTTAGAGAAAATGACAGAGAGGTTTTAAAAGAATTAATTAATTTAAGTTAGGTCTCAAGTATTAAATTTTTAAAATTTAAAACTCAATCTCTCAATTTTGCAACTCCGTTGTGATGAATTTATAATTTATATTCTAAATTTTAACAGGTGTATAAGTTGTAAATTCATCACAACAGAATTGCAAAATTGAAAGATTGAGTTGTAAATTTCTGGAGTTTGATATTTGAAATCTAACTTAAACTAATTGATCCTTTTGTTTGTCATTCTCCCTATTTACTTCAATCATCAATTTTTTTTTTTTGCATTTGAATTTCCATCAACTTTATTCTTACAGCACTTAAAACCCCACACACACACACAGATATATATATATATATATATATTATAGAAAAAGGATCTGGATCGCCTCTATGATCGACTCGGCTTAAGAAAATACTTCTTTATATATATCTTTGAACCTGAATGTGAATCTTTGGTAATGGAAAAGAGACATTAAGACTTATAATTAACAATGACTTTGAATATAATTCTCAACTAATTCGGGTCTATTATATGTTCTCTTCTGAGTTTTTTTGGCTTCATTTCTTTGTCATTAGAATATATACACATTTCTGTATATATAATTTGTCTAATGTTATTTATCTTCCATACCTACTGTTTTCTTAAATATTAAGATTATTTGGCAATATGCCTTATCTAGATATCGATGTTAGTCATACTTCCAGCTAGCCTTAGGAGGGTATGGCAAGAATAGTTCTGCAAGTGATGACTATCGAATTTTCATATATTTTGAAAGGTTATGTTAGCAATTTAAAGAGTCATCTAATTTATTTCAATTAATTTTCTTTTATTTAATTCATTTTTTTTAGAAGAATGATAAAGAGGTCCCAAAAGAACTAATTAATTCACCGTAGGTTCCAAATGCCAAATGCCAAACTTCAAGAATTTTCAAGTTTGGATCTCAATTTTATAACTTTGTTATGATAAATTGGCAATTTGTACTTCAAATTTTAATAGGAAAGTCAAATTTGTTTATTCTTCAACCATATTAAAATTTAAAAAGCAAGTTGCAAAATTGAAAGCCAAACTTGCAAACTATCCTTTATCTCTTTAATTCATGAATTGGGACTAAATTTGTTGAAATATTGATGCTATGTCTTTGAATTCATAAATATATGGCTAATGTTGATATACTTGATATGTTTGAGATTAATTTTGGATTAGTTTGTTTTGCTAGACA